TCGAGAGGTGGGTAAAGACCTTGCATGAAAGCCTGGGCAGACGCAACAACTGACGGATCAGTGGTTGAAAACACATCCACCTCCTCGGTATCTATTAAATACGGTGATAGGTTTTGGATTCTTGTATTTGAAGTGTTATTGTTGTCAGGTATCGCAACATAGCGGTCTCGAAAAACGGATCCTGCCGCATACAACTCATCCGCCCCATATGGAGTTAAGGCTTTGGGACGAGGTAGGGCTGATGGGATACTATCTCCATAAAGGTTGTAGGCAACGATTGCCCACACTTTCTCTTCCAGATCTTGGGCAGAAGCCAGGGATGTGTATAATACTGCTGCTGCAGTAATGACATGGAGATTGAAGATTAACATAGTGGGCACAGGGTCATCAAAATGGTTCTTTTCATGGAAGAGTATATCTTATTGGAGGCTTTCATTGATAAGGTATAGAGGACAAAGAGCAGCACGAGTAAGAGCCCCTGGTTAGAAATATGAGAAAGGGCTGTATTACAGTTCACTAAGGTCAGGTACATGGAGGAGAGGGATGTATACTTAAGAGCTAGAGACATTGGGAAGAAAGCTCTGAGGCCTAGACTCCGGTAGCACCCATTAGACTTTGGCAAGTCCATGGGAAATGACGACATAAAGCTGTATTTTTTCGTAAAGGGAACCGAGTACCAGTGAACTTTCGACAGTCTATACCTCCGGAAGGGTGCGATGGTAGCTTCACAAGACCTGGTCCTGAGTAAGTACTCAGTAAAACAAAGTAACCCTTGACTAGTTTGTCACCTCGGGGCGACCGTTAGGCTAATAAAAGGGAGTTTAGTGTATTGAAATGTTTCAAATATCAGCTACAGTTAGTTTCCAACGGTGGCCTATATTGATAGTCAAGACACTCGAGTTGTCGTTGACCTTCAACGACTGGGCTGGTTTCTTTCCCTTCCCGGAAGGAAATATCTTCAATAGGCTGCCTTTCCATATAAAAGGATTGCAAAAATTTAGTCAAGTACCAAGACAAATTTGTTGATCGTTGATCGATTGCGAGTCAAGAGACGATATTTCACTATGGAACGATAGTCTATCGATGACGTGTAGACTGAGGAAGGTAGCATCCCAACGAAAGCAACCGTGATGGTTAGACGCGTACGGTACGGTGTACAGATGAAGAGAGATCTCCTTGGAACTTTCATCCTGCGAATCTTGGTTATGGTATGATCTACAGGGAAAGTCCTAGATACTATGTTTTCGTGGCTATCAAATAGACCAAATATGTGCAAGACAGCTGCAGCCGAAATGGAAGATTAGATGCCTGAGGCCACAATACCTCATACTTTGATGTATATTTACTTTAGAACGAGGTAGTTGTGCGGACTTATGGAGACATGAGGATTAGCAAAATACACAAACCTTGAACTGCAAGAAGAGAGAAACTTGACGTGTTCCTCCCTACTAAATCCATTCACTACCATGAATACTGCCGAGTAGTATTACTTCATGGCTGCCTCAGGCTCCGCATGTCACCTTTCCGCCCAGCGAAAATTCTGTCACGCCATTTATCCGCCCGTCTCATCCTCTTCGCAAGCCCTACGCCTGCGCCCTACCCCTAAGCCCTTATTTCTGCTCTTGGAAGTCAACGTCCAATGCAGACCGACTGGACTGTTCCTAACATGGTGAATACACAAGCTGAAAGGCCGTCTATCGATGGGCAGGACTCTTCTGAGCTTCCTCCAACTTCTATCCCCCAGGATGAGGACCTCAATGGTAAGTTACGTGCGCGTCTTACCAGCAATCCATTGCTCCATCCGGCCGTTCCTACTAGCAGGGCAGAGTGCCCATTATTCTCCCTTGAACTCACTCAAGAGCTCTCCTACATAATTTAATAGACGTGAAACCAAACATTAACTCAATAATTTATAGTCGCCCCGAAAATGTCCCGGCCCCTCGAAGAAGACGACGGTGCCGTCTCTCCTCGAGCCTCCAAGAAGCCGCGCCTTAAGTCGGAACCAGGAGACCTTTCACTTCCACCACAACCGCTCACTGGGGTGGATCAAGGACCAGGAAATCAGATCGAAGAAGAATTGGCCTCGGCCCTGGGTCCTAGTATCGTCGACACGGTAGAACGCCAAGATGACAAATCTAGTCACATCGAGACACCAGCCGAAAGCGCAGTGGCACCAGAACCCAACCAGGACATTGATACGGATATAGCTACAGTAATTTCAAGCATCATGAACCATGCGGAACGGGTCGAGGAACAATGCGCTATCGGACAGCAGCAATTAGCGGATACTTCTGGCCAGTCGGCTCCAAAAGGAATGGTGTTTGTCAAAGCAAATTCCCACCTCAAAATTCAAAGTTTGCCCATTCTTGACAACCTGGTAAGCATTAGTTTTGAAACAGCGTTCCCTCTTTACATGACTCAAATTATGTTTTAACGTTCGTTTAGTCTACCCAAATTCTATCTCTGCTGGCAAAATCTACTTATCAGGATATCACCTCATTTGTCTCCGAGCCGGATTCCGAAAATGGACAAGCCTATGCTACCATGCGGTCGCTTTTTGACCACACCAAGAAAGTGTACTCAACCAAAAAGTCCTTCCTGTCTGCGACCGAACTTGAGCTCACAGAGTCTTCTCAAGTCGATATCATCAGGAAGGCCAACCTTGCCTCGTTTGTCTCCAGCATCTTCGGAACACAAGAGATTGGGTTTTCCGAGCTAAATGATAACTTCCTCGATGTTTTTGTTCCGGAGGGTGGTCGTTTACTCAAGGTACAAGGAGCGCTCTTCCTAGAGCTGAAAACACAGGCATTCATTGCTTCAATGAACAACACAGAACGATCACGAACTGAGTTGTTGTACGACTTATTTCCCGACGACTTAGAGCAGCGTCTACTTGAAAGGCGTCCAGGAACTCGTCAACTTGCTCCGAGCGAAACTGATTTTGTAAATCGCGCCAAATCGCGCCGTGATATCCTTCTCAACGATATCAATAATGAAGAAGCGATGAAAGCCTTGCCAGACAAGTATCACTGGGAAGATTTCCTCAGGGATCTTAGCTCCTATGTCACAAAGAATTTCGATACGATCAGTAATCAACAGGTTCGATGCCCCAGTTGTCCCCTTTAATTGAGTGCATCTTAAGTACTAATTTGATTCAGTCGAAGAAGATTACCAAAGGACGCCAGCCATCGTCTTCGAGCGGGGACACGCAAGAACCAAGCAACGCTCCCCTTCAAGGTCAATTTCCAGTTGCTTCTCAGCCTCCTGACGTTCCTGTTGACAGAAACATGCACGGTGATCTCGTTGCTCGTGCAGCTCGTGCAGCACAGATTGCATTGCAGGGCCATGGGCTGAGACGCTCTCAGCAGCAGTCCCAGCAACAGCAACAGCAACAGCAGCTACAGCAACAAGTTCATCACCAACAACAACCTCAACAGCCCCAACAACAACCCCAGCAGCAGCAGCCCCAGCAGCCTCAACATCCTATTCAACAGCAGCAGCCGCCCCAGCAGCAACATGCACCTCATCACCCAACGCAGCAAGGTGCACAAATTTATCATGGCTATGCCCCTGCGCAACCAAGTGGCCAGCTTCCACCTCAGCAGAATCCTCATCACCAGCAGTATCAGCCAAGTCCTACACCCCCAGGTTATCAACCACAGCCTACGCAGCCTACCTTTCAGCAGGGACCAATCCAGGCGAATTTCCAACAATATAACCATGGCGCCCCAGTCTCCATGCCTGGAAGGCCAAATTCTGCTGCTGCTAATCATGGTTACATGCCTGGCATCCCTCATTATTCGCAGTCGCAGCCGACTCAAGTCCTCTACGAGCGGGCTCGTATGGCAGCATCGGCGAAGTCATCCCCAAGCAGCCGCAAGTCGGGCCTACCAAGCCAGCGTAGACCTTGGACAACAGAAGAGGAGAATGCATTGATGGCTGGCCTAGATCGTGTCAAGGGGCCCCATTGGAGTCAGATTCTAGCAATGTTTGGCCCTGGAGGTACTATTAGCGAAGCACTGAAAGATCGGAATCAGGTTCAGCTCAAAGACAAGGCACGCAACCTAAAACTTTTCTTCCTTAAGAGTGGAATCGAAGTTCCCTACTACCTGAAGTTCGTCACTGGTGAATTGAAAACTCGTGCGCCCGCCCAGGCTGCCAAGCGTGAAGCACGGGAGCGGCAGAAGAAGCAAGGTGAAGAAGACAAAGCTCATGTCGAAGGAATCAAAGGAATGATGGCACTAGCTGGCGCACACCCTCAGCCAGTTGCCTTAGGGCACGGTCATGACGGCATGTCGGCATCTCCCAGTTTACCACCTGATGCCGGTGCTCATGCAGCATTCGATCAAACCGCCGAGCAGAATTTGATGCAAACCCTTGGCCAGGAGGTGCATGGAGATCAGTTCGGACAACACCAGCATCACCAACATCACCAACATCACCAGCACCACCAGCACCATCAGGATCCTGTTGATCCAAATATGCATCTTGGGCAGTAGATTGGATCTTCCTGTCCTTCTTCTTTCTTCCTCTTCTCCTCGATTTCTTTCTGTATCTCTCTCTCTATTCCCCCTTTCTTTTTCTTGCTCTAGGCAGTTGTTTGTCGCCCGCGTACTACGCCTTCAGTTGTATCTGGTTGCTACAAAAAGCCCTCCTGCTTATCTAATGGTTTTATCTGGGTTGAAAGATTAATGGCGGGTTAGCATTCCATATATGGGTTCGGTATGGGATATTCTGTAACAGTAAATAGGTGATTCACGAACAGGAAGGGGTTATATGGAACAATGGATGTACTTTTATTGCATAACATGGAATGACAATGCGTGAGTTATACGTATTCCCAAGCATCATGTCACACTGTTAGGGTAAAATGGTAGAAGAGGGTAAATTTATCGGAATTTAATCGCGGAGAGTAAGTCAGTCACGTTGGGCCGCGCACGGGTAAAGAAAGTAAAGCTAAGCTCTCCGCTCGTTCACATCGACGTATCGCCGCCATTCATCGGACGCCCTGGCCTCGACGTACCCTGTTCCAACTCGTCCACTGCCCAACACGGATAATTTGCTTTTTTACAACCCAATCTCCTGATCGCCTTACCTGGTACTTCCTTTGTTCACACCATGGCCGACCAAGCGCCATCACAGATCCCTGTCCCACCTTCGTCTCAACCACCACCTTTGTCACAGACTGGCTCCCAAGAACCTTCAGCATCAATCGCGTCGGCATCTGGTGAACCAGCAACTTCATCCGGAGCGACAGCTATTCTGAAACCTGACCCCGATGCACCAGACGGTGCCGCCTTGGACGCTTCCATCGAACAAGATATTGATCTAAACGCAAGCAACGACAGCAAAATGACAAACGCAAATGATGCGGAAGACCCTGCTGTAGGCAATCCAATTCAGACCGCAACATCAGTCGACGCTTTTGTGGCAGCAGCAGCGCCGTCGAAGAAGGAGACGAGTTTGCGCGAGTTCCTGGGTAAAATGGATGAGTATGCGCCTATTGTAAGTTTTCCTCCCCTCTCTTCCCTTTCAATAAATGATCCTTCTCTTCCATTCTATAAAATGAAATTTGGATCGTGATCATTTTAAAGACTAATATTCAATAGATCCCTGACGCTGTAACTGCACATTATCTTACCCTTGCCGGTCTACCACCCCCAGGGAATGGCCCCAACCAAACACCTCCACACTTAGCCCGACTTCTCGCTTTAGCGACCCAGAAATTTATCGCGGACATCGCCGCGGATTCCTACCAGTACGCGCGTATTCGGGCTTCTAATAGCTCCTCCGCCAGCAACCCAATGGGTAGTCTTAACGCTGCGTCGGGTCTCGGTATGCCCACTGGTGCGTCTGGCGCAGGTGCAGCTGGGGCTGCTGCTGGCGCGTCGGGCGGAGATGCAGGCAAGGGCAAAGCCAATACACATCTTGGCATCCAAAGGCCCGGCTTTGGCGGTGGTGGCTCAGGAGGCTCGGGGCAAGGACGGACGGTGCTCACCATGGAAGATCTGGGAATGGCGGTTGGCGAGTACGGCGTGAGTGTGAAGAGGGGCGAGTTCTACCGGTAAAGTTTGGGTGATGGGTTACCACGATGAGTGGCTCCGTGGGCCTTTGGTTGGACATTCTGGGGTGCGAAACGGCAGCAGATGCTTGCTTCTGACGGCGCGCGCATGAGAATGTACTCCATGTTACGACGACTAATTTGGGGACGGCGATACCCATCTTGGAGATTACGTGCTAGATCGCTGTCGACTGAAGATTGAACGTCGACTTTAATTGGAAGGGGCTTGCTTACTGGCGTAAATACCGGGCTGGGGACAAACGATATCCTGCATTTGGGCTTCTAAAATTTTACAACACGAGATTTTGCATAGGCGTTTGGGATGGTGAAGAATCAATGGAGAGATTCCATTTTGCACTGCTTCATGTCGAGGTCGACAGTGGTTGTCTTTTTCCTTCTTGATGCGTTAAAGAACCGAAGAATAGATCATAAGATTGACTCAATGATACTTATTATCCTGACTCCACAGTGACAGTGACAGTGACAGTGACAGTGACAGCTAATTTTACATTCAACATATGCGACATAGATATACAAGAATACGAAAACGCCAATAGAGAACAAACAGTAAATCCTCCCCGGAGACCTCGAGTCAGGTATTACCCTCCCCATCATCCACAGAGCACAACAACCACACAGCCCCAAACATCCCCCACCAAGCCAATCATCTATTTGTTCTTCGACTGCTTATACGTAAACCTCTTCCGGGTCCTGTAAATCCACGCCAATAAGTCAGCCATGTTGACAACCTCCCAACAGCAAAAGGAAAAAAAAAAAAAAAAAGAAAAAGAAAAAAAAAAGCCACATACGCAACATATTCACCAAGCTTCCGTCCGACCATCTCCTCAGTGATCAAAACATCCTGGTAATTCTTCCCATTGTGCACCGAAAACCGCAAGCCCACGAAGTTAGGGAGGATTGTTGCTCCGCGCTTCTGGGTCTTGATCGGGGGAGTGTTCGGCGGAGGAGGGAGTTTCCGGGGGAGAGGGAGACTATCGGAGTTCAACCATGTTAGTCATTGCTATATCGTATATGCAGCCCGAGTTATGTATGTGGGATCTCGACTCGGTGATTTAGGTTTGGTTCAAGGTCTGGTTTGGGGAGCGTATTGATTGATGGGATGAACGTACGGGACAATGTTTGGGCCTGTTACGATGTGTTGTGTTAGCGGATTGACCTTCGTATCGGGGATTCGTGATCGTCGTGAACATGAAAAAAACTCACCTTTCCAGACGGAACGCCCCAGGAGGGCACGGGTGGGAAACATTTTGTTGGCAGCTGCTGGGTTGGTTTCGCTGTTGCGATAGTTCCGATACAAATTGTTCGGAGCGGCGTGATGTCGGCTTAGTCAGCGCATTTCAATAACTATCCCAGGATATTGAAAAAGCGAGCTACTCTAGATTCCAGCTATTGAGCGTCAGGGACTGCTCGAGACAGGTTTCTTTTCTGCCGGACCCCGAAGGGCTTATCAAGAGGAATAAACTAGGCCTGTGGAGTGTGATTAATTGATGGCTTAGCTAGTAGTTAACATTTTGTGCTAGATTGAGGGAGTACTGTGGCGGAAGGAGACGGTTCAATTCTATTCTTCAAGAAAGGTGGTGCTTTATTCTATTTACTACTCTAGGATCTATCTTTAACATAGAAAAATAGCATCCGGACACGACTTAGTTGTTCACTGGTACATTGGTAAACGGATGCATGAGTATGATATCCAGTCGCCAGCGACTATTGGATACAGGTCCAGATAGAATCTTGTCCATTCACTCTGCAGCAAGCTCATTGAGGAATTTTGCCAGATTGCGTACTCCCATGAGTAAATTTTCGTCCGGCCCCTGACCGGGCGTCCAGCTGGCGTGCGCAAAGTCAATCAGGCGGAGATCATGCGCCTTCGGGGGCTCCTCCTCATCCTCATCGATATCTGAGTCACCCAGCTGAATGGTTTCCGGATCGATGCTGATATTAATAGCCTGCTGAGGTTGGCCATCTTTCCCGAACGGGAGATCCACCACTTGATAAGGGCCGTCCTGCTGGAGTTGAAGCTCAAAACTCTCATCGTCTTCTTCTTCTTCTTCTTCCTCCTCTGAGTCCTCTTTGGGGTTCTCTTTGACTTTCTTTTCCTCCTCAAGCGCAATCTCCATCGCCTCCGGGTCGCCCTCATAGACGATCAAGACACTCGAGGAATACATCCGACTCTCCTCGGATTCAAGAACCTCCTGCAGGTTCATTAGTTCATTGGCCAGTCTCCTAGCGATAAGTTTCGAGCGGTCAACTGAACCAGCCTTTGCGCCAGCAAGAAAAGTCTCGAAACCCTCCTTAACATTCTTATCACTGAACGAACGTCCGTACCACTTATCATAACGCCTGTAGCCGTCCTTCTCAATGACCTCACCCTTTACGCCCTCTGAGCCCTCATATTTGGTCGCATACGGGTCGGTCTTGCCCCCTTCATCGTTCTCCCCATTAACACCAGTCCAGACTTTCATCCCAGCAATTCGGAACCCCAGACTAGAGCTAGTCGTCTCCTTAGACACATTGTCCAGCTTCGTTCGCTTCGCAAGCGGCGCATCGTCCGCCCACAATCTTGCGCCCAATTTGACATCCAAGACGTTTGGTCGCTTGAATCCACATGCCACATTCTCCAACACGATTGACAAGCCCGTGTCGATCTTCTTTCCACCCGATGGAACCCAAGTATTTTCTGCGGTTGCAGCCGCATCGGGTGCATTTGCTTCTCCATTCAGTTGGGGAGTTGCGACAGCGGTCGACACTTCGGACGAATCGGAGCTGGGAAGAACGATAGCGCCCGGCTGGGCACTGGCGAGCGCAAGCGGCTGCTGTTGTCCATCTGCAGATGTCAAACTTCCGATATAGGTCGGAATAAATTCGGCGAAAGCTGGGTGGAGGGCGCAGGACTCGTAGAACGCAACCTCCGCGTGAGTGCAAGGCTTCGCGATGAAAGAGCCGGAGGGAGTACAGCGAACGCCCTCACTATGATAGTCAGTTTCGATATTGGTAAGTTTAGGAAGTTGCAGTCTAGTATGCGCCTTCAAGATTCACATGCGTAACCATCTACTACTGCATGGGTATTTCTGACTGGTTCGGGGTGGAGGCGGAGAGAGAGAACTTACTGTCCAGCCGCAGCATGGTCGAAGGCGACGAAACTCTCGTTGTCCAGCTTTTGAGCCTTGGAACTATCTGATCTCGAAGAAGATGGCATCCTTATGGTTAATTTTGTTAAACAAGAGAGTAAATATCATGCAGGTAAGATGGCAGAATTCTATGACAATATTCCATGGATCGCGACACCATCAAAATATGGGGTCAAGGATGGATAAGATAAAGGACAGAGAGGATGGATGAAGTAGAAATTAGAATATTTATTTTGAAGCAAATGAAGGGAGAAGGAGTAACCAAAAGGACATTCAAGGAGAGACAAGCAAGGTAAGCAAGAGGAGGCTTAACTGCGCAATATTAATGTTACCTAAAGGTGTGCTAGAGGCATGATCGGCAATCAGGGGGGTTTTTTGTTGGTTCCAGAATGATTTTCCTTTGCCTGAGGGGTCGCCGGTCAGCCTAGTTAACTATGGGGAAAGCCCCCTTCATGACTTAGTCACCGATCTAAGGTTAAAAAACGTGGAACCTCTTAGTGCACTGGCATCTTCCCCTTTCCATTCTAGCGCTGCATTCTGCCTGTCAGCCATACAAGAACTCAATCTAAACGTATGCTGGAGACTTGATATACTCTTCAGCTTCTTGCATTTAATATCGACATATCCGCGATTTTTCTCCTATTTATTCGGTTCTTGATTAACCTCGCTAGAATAGACGAAGGTTTCCGGCTAATGGTACATACGTACTACCTTGTGATGAGCGCTGCATGCACTGAATATCAAGAAGATATGCAAGTGTATGTCCAGTCTCGTCTCTATCTTCGTAGGCCCTCCAGTTCCCTGTATACTCATCAATCCCTCCCTCATCCAATCTTTGATAATGCCCAAGTTACGTACGAGGATGATATTGATAGATATTCAAATTGTGCTATTATGATTGAGATTTACCTAAAGAAACCCACTTTGCACTACATGACACCAGATTATCCTGAGGAGTTGAGACGTAGCTTGGAAAGGAAGAAGAAGACAACATGAAAAAGAAAGGATTAAACTGAAGAAAGGGGAAGAGACAGCTCTGCTGCTGGCAAATGCACCACATAGTTGAGCGCTCTCAGCGAACCAACTGTTCAGAATCAAAAGCATGCGCCGCAGGAAATGACAAGAATCAACTTCCAGATTGGTCCAATTGGAACTCAGAAAATGTGGTTATAACTGGCCCAACGATGCCATTCCGGTGTGCAACAAGCCAATTATATTCGCACAATGTCCGACACCCGATTCTCATCCGTTATTCATGGCAGTAAAGCAAAAGTTTCAGGTCAATAAAGCCCCCTATTTTTTTCGGGATTGCCACCAGGCTTCCAGGACGTGGCTTGGAAGGAATGTCTCTTGGATTTTTGGGGTAATCGTGAAAGCTGTATGCTTGAATTCCTTCTCGAGCCACGGTTGCCAGTCCCAGTCAATCCAACCGGCAAAATCAAGCATGCGAGTTCTGAGGGCTGCGTGCCATCGCAGCAAGGGTGAGATATAAGTACCTGGGAGGAGATACGCGTCAATCACGGGACTGTTGAAAACACTCCCGCGACCGAAGAGTGCGTCGCCAAAATCAATGCAAACGGCTTTTTCGTGAGTAGAACTATTGGCCACCATGACATTTCTCGGCTGGAGGTCTAGGAGAACAATATCCCGGGTGTACGCCAAAGTTTCGAATTGGATAATAGCCTTCATGATATTCTGTCGATCTCGTTGCGGTACTTCTTTGGGAGAAATATTTTGCATAGAAGCCCCAGGTATGTATTCAATGAGGATAAGACGAACATTGCGTGTAGTAGATACGTCAACAGGCACTCCCAAGGAGAACGATCCATAATATTCGGGGATCATAGAGCCCTGGACGTCTGAAAATGCCATGTATACAGCGACTTCGTGCGTGTAGTGATTGTCAACACACATAAAAGGGTCATAAAAGCCGCTGTCATCATCCAGGTACAAAGGGTCATATATCTTTGCCACCACTCGCTTTCCCTTTTCCAAGCCTTTTAAGGGCACGTCACTAATGACTTCAACGAGAACCAACTGAGCATTGCCAGCCTGTAGTATCTTGCAAATTTGTAACTCAACACTAAAAGGTCCGTCAGCTCCTTGCAGTGGGGGGTGCTTTATGCATCGTTGGACCGGATGAAGCTTCCTTCTTTCCTTCGTTCCAGTCTTGTCATTCAAGCCGAACGAATCTGTCATTGGGGTAGGAGGAGGGGCAATATGCTGCCGCACAGTAAACCTCCATCCGTTGATGTAGGGATTTGTTGGCTTCACTCTTTCTCTTCGAAGCAAGCGATGCATGGCGTTAGATATATCCTGATTCCTGATCAACACTACGGAGCATTTCGGGTATTAATGTAAAGAGGATGAAAGGTTGCCCGACCATGTGATATGGTACTTCGACGGAGAAGACCCAGGGCCAGAAGTGAATTATATGTCGTAGGTGTATAAATAAATAGCGCAATAACCACCCTCATTGTAAGAAGCAGAGTACAATTTGCCCTGCAATAGGCGTCTATCATTGAAACATGGAGTGCTAGCAGGTTCAATATCTATCTTGATAGCTTTGAGAATTACAATATACACTAATATCAAGGCATGATGGGTCTCATGAAGTTTAAAGCTTGTATAAGATGAAGTGCGTCGTGCAGCAGTTTCCTCTTGTTGTATCTTTTAGGAGTCCAAGAACAAGCAAGAAACCAAAGAGGAGACCTACTTGGTCTGATCTTAAAGCGAGCCTCCCATACTAACACGTATGAGGGACCTCAACCAAGTCCGTCTATGCCATTCACTCAGTTATGCCTAATCCATGTTTCAGATTGGGTCCGATAAGGCTTAACAGCGGAACGGCCCCAGTACTTTATCGTGATTAGCGACAGCAATAAGCATGGCACATTATTGATACACCATAATACATGTTATATATATCTCCCAGCTCTGAGACTCTAGATTTTGATTTTAATCATACCAGCAATCCGTGTGATTGTCCTCATCGATGATACCTAAAACAGTAACAAATAATGGTGAAAGAGCAACTTGATTAGCTTCATTATTGGTGTCATCCCAGCCAAAGAGCCGATGGGATTCATGTACTACCTACAAAGAATATTAAAGACGGGTACAAATATGATAAAATTGCAAACGAGCTGCTGAGTGTTAAATACTTGATTGTTTGTAAGCAAGCGGGCATTCATAGTATTGGACAGGAGCCCGTCATTCCCTGTTGTGAGATTTTATTCACTCGATCCTTCTTTTCTGTCTCCCACTCTCTCACTTTGTTTTGATTTGGGTCTCCAGGTTTCTTTCTCTCCCCACTTCGCTGATGACCTCTTCTCCAATGTCAATGGGGAACTAATCTCTCTATGACTTCTAAGAATACCGAGGCTCTTCGGAGTCTGCCCTTCCGTCTTCTCCGTCCCCTTGAGGACGTCAAGGACTCCCATCAGTCGGTTGTTGGCAGTGGTGAAGTTACTTTGGCTGCCCTTGATCAGGCTACAAGCAATGAACCCGACTTTACTCACCAGGCAGTTGCCGAAGCTGAAGCGCCTACCGTGGCTGATCTTATGGAGATAACTGAAAACCAAGCTAACTCCTCTCACGAATCACTTCTTAAAGAGAAAGAAACAGCTGTAACCGATCCCGTCGAGACTGCAGATGGTGCAACCGCTTCTAAGCTGCAGGCGGCTGTTGACGGTGGAAAATCACCCTTGAGTACTCCTGTTCAGGCTGCTGACGACCAAGCCGACTCTACCTCTCAGCCAGCTGTGAGCGATGGCGATATTACCTTGACTCAACCTAGCCAGGCTGCAGATGAGCAAGCTAAGTTAGCCTGCTCTGTGCATTCGTCTGTTATTGAAGATGGAGAAGCGAAAGATATGACTACTGTGGATTTAGTTGTGCCTAAGAGAAAGAAGAAGAGAAAACCTAAGTCCAAAGCCAAGCACGGAAAGGTAGTCGAGTACTTTCCTGTCTACCTAGACTCATCGATTCTATCTGACTATGTATAGGGCAAGCCTACCGGTTTTGAGGAGTACTATGTCGATGCACCCATAACTCCAAAGGAGTATGAGGAAGAGAAAGCCCTCTATGATATGTGAGTAAGACGATTCAGATGTGAGCTTGTGACTAACTGAGAAATCTATGGAAAAGCTCCAGACCTCTTATCCAGTGAGTTTTCATTCTGGCCATATGATCCCAGAGGTGTTGACCTGTCCTTAGCCGTATCGAGGCCGCCATCCTGCGATACCAGAACAATCGTCGCATGGAACCTGACAGGCGTGAAGCCTTTATGAGGTATCTGGTATATGGAGGTGTCGATGTCGGTCCTAAGATGTTCACCGGAGTGGATGAGCAAGAGCTCCAACAACTTGATAGTGAGCAAGCTCTTATCGCTAAAGGGCAGACAAACATCCGTCAGGAGTGTACGAAGCTTATAGTCGACTTCAATGCTGTTGTGAAGGGGTACCTGTAAGATAACCTAGTTACAAGTAGACAGGTTTGGCATGGCTAACATCTGGCAGGACTTCGTACTTCCCATACTTCTTCAATCCCGAAACCGAGGAGATGGTGAAGCTAGCCACTATCACGATCCGAAATTTCCTCTCTTATCTGCTCTACCATGAGGTGTGCCCCGAGTACAGAGTAAATATTGATGAGGCGCGCAGGTCGTGTGACATCGCAACCAAAGAACTGTGGCAGAATCAGGAGTTCACAACTTCCAGCCCCGGGGATTTCAATAAGGCCTGCTCTACTCTCTTCGGTGGCTTCTTCTACGATGTGAATGTCGAGGGAAATAGTTGGAATAACCGAAATAACGGAAACTTCCTTATGAAGAACGACGTCGCGCGTAAAGTGGTCAAGTTCGCGATAGCTGGTTCAGGAACAAATGCCATGGCCCTTAAATTCCAGACGTTGGCTAACCAGAATGCTTTGCATTCAACGCTTGTGCCGGATATTCACGGCTTCGAGGTGATTTCGGTCTTCCCTCCCTCGTCAGAAGTTTGTGAATTCTACAGACACCACGCACCTGACCTGAACCCTGTTGGGCGAATGGTCGGGAAAGCGTTCCGTGATCCTGGAAAGCCTCGCTATGATCTAAGTGCGGAGGAACGATTGATGTGGGAAACTGGGACTGCATCGGTACCTGATTTCCAATTTTTCCTGGAAGAAAGTCTGCTCAAGCTCTGTTACCTCAAGATGAAAGTGATCACTCCTGTGTGGGAACTCAACTGCGGATTGAACTTCTTTGAAGACGTTCACGCTGTTTACAGCTCGATCTACACCGTTCTCTGTAACGATCTTATGCTGGGCTATAAGCAGTCGGTTGACTTGACCAGAGAAGAACAGGATGATCTTGAGGAGATCGAGGAGCCAAACGGTGATGAGGCGGGGAAGGAAGAGACGACGCTGTAAGCTGTCATCACGGGCCTAATTATTCGCTTGATTCAAAAGGAACTACATTGTGTGTATTCAAACCGTCCCCTTCTTGGTTGCAGTGTTGTTTACATCTCATGCTTCGTCCTATGCGATCCTAAACTAATGCTGTTATTTCGGTGTTATGGCAAGTTTTTGTTTGCACTGATTCTGAAATATTGGACAACTCGAGGTAGTTAGAATTCATCATAGTGGCATAAGTTCTCCATACACCTATAATTCTTATCTGTACTTGGCATAACATTTCTCATTACATTTAGTATGTCCTGTGCATAAATCATGGCTTGAGAAGAAGCTTTCCGGTGGTCTTCCTGCCTTCCAAATCGGTATGCGCCTGGGCAGCTTGCTCCAGAGGGTAAACTTTGTGAATCTTAACCGTCAGCTGTCCAGACTTGAGGAGGCCGAACAGCTCATTAACGTAGAATTCAAATTCCTCGCGGGTCTCAATGTAGCCGAACAGCTGTGGCCGAGCAACCTTGACACACTTGGGAGATAATTTCCTGTTCGATCTATTAGTGTGAGAGCTTGATTGACACGAAACAAATGAACATACTGAAGAGGCAGAGGCGGCACTGGGCCACTGGCATTACCAAACCAAACGATAGTACCCTTTCTCTTGACGGCCTCCAAGCTGCCTTCCCAGGTATCCTTTCCGACGGAGTCATAGACAACATCGACGCCCCGTCCCTCAGTCACCTCCTTGACCTTCTTAACCCAATCCTTGCCCTCCTCACTGCGGTAATCGATAACCACATCCGCACCCAGGCTCTTCACCAAAGCGACCTTCTCCGGACCACCTGCCGTTCCAATCACCTTGGCACCGAGGGACTTGAGAACCTGAGTCATGAGGAATCCAGCACCACCAGCTGCCGCATGCAGCAGCACCCAGTCGCCCTTCTGCACAGCGTAGGTCTCCTTGGCCAGGGTGATAACCGTCAAGCCGCTCAGGAAACCAGCGATGGCATCCTCGTCAGTGATCTCGTCGGGGATCTTGACGGTCTTGGCCGCCGGGACGGCTGTGTATTCAGCATAACCGCCTGTGGTCATCCAGGCGACACGATCGCCGACCTTGAAATTGTACGGGTTAGGGCCCGGGCCCAGTGCGACCACGGTGCCGGCGCCTTCGCGGCCGAGGATTTCGGGTTTGGCAGATGGGTAGAGACCCGTCCGGAAGTAGGTGTCGATGTAGTTTATACCAGAAATGTTGTTCTTGACGAGCAATTGGCCCTCCTGCGGGGTCGGGACGGGGTGGTCGGATTTGAACTCGAGGACCTCAGGGCCGCCGAGTTTCTCGACAATGACGGCCTTCATGGTCGATGGGACGGACATGGCGCGGGCTTGATGGGGAAATGGTGAAATTGGTGATGGACTGAGGTGAGCGCGGATAGCAGAGAGACGGGCAATGCTTGGTGAAGTAGTCCTCGTGGCAGTTGTACGAAGGGAAGTGGAATGAGTTGCGAAGAAGCGGTTAAGATACATTCGAGGAGGGGCTTCCGGATAATAATTTAACAAGTACCACCAGGTGGGATTTTAGGATGCTTTGGTTTGCGTACGAGCACGAAAAGAATCATATCACGATCAGCTACGGTTTCATGAATCATTACTGTTGTTGATTTGTCATCCGACTGCTATCTCGTCGTTTTGATATCCTTCATTCCTCATCCATGGCTTTCTCTTTCCCCGCAGTTTCCATATCGCGGGATCTATTCCGTTGTTTGTATGAGTGTCGGGAAACCACAACCTCGCTCTGTAAGCTTAATAGTACTCAGACCATTGATTGATAGCAAGGTCTGGCATACTTCTGGCAATGTTTTCTTTTGCCTCTTGATATGACCGGAGTGCAGGTGTGATACTTCCGTCGGGAATGACGCCATCGGAAGAGGGCGTCGGCCTTTTTGTTTTCTCTTCTCCATCTCCGACGGACCAACTCCGACCATGGGATTTGTGCACGTTGCGGCATAGTTTCATTAGTCAGGTTCAATGCACGATTACGGTTTATACATTGATACATAATGCCTAAGGAGACGAGATCATCTCGACAGGATCATCACAGCCCAACTGTTACATAGTCTATCATTCTGTTATTCCTATCATCGACGATCTATTCATTACTAACCGCATAACATTCTCCAGAGCCCACAATGACTCCGGGAGTCATCTGCACTTGCTTTAGGCCAGCTCAGCGCCGGCAATTACCTACAACAACCAGAATGGCATCATAGCCTTCCATGCCAACAACGGCGGAATGCCATCATGGAACCCTAGAATTTGACTGACATGGACCGCAGTAGGCGACTTTTCCGGGGCAATGAAGCCCAACAAGGACCAATGGTCAAGGTCAATGATGAAAGAGGCTGAGGCGCTTCACGCAACCGCCTCGCCTCGCCTTTCTTACGCGTCTGAGCAGGCTGGAGCCAACTGTCTCCCCACAATATGGCGGCCGCCCTGCACCCTTTACCCACATTCTTTTTTCCCTTTAAAAACTTTGAACGATAGCAATTGGTCGATCCGCTGGGGATTCAGCTGGTATCGAAAGAAAATCTGCTGATCTGGCGCCATTGCATCGCCATGGATGCCTTCGTCCCACACTTACTCACATATAGGTGCAGCAAGGACGTCTATCATATTGGTCTCGACCAAAGACTATGACTGTCTGACTCCTGTGCCTGTTGATTTGGCTTGCAGAGAGCCAAACAGATTCATGCTCAGCATCTGGCCACGACCGCCGTGTTTCATGCCCCAATGGCCTGATTCGTCGCCTTTCCGCCCAATGCTTTAGGCTGATGCCCTGATAGGGCCATCATCTCGAGAGGCGCTGCCCGACCAGGTTCTCATTGGGGCTTATATACATTGTCATACTGTCCCCTTTTTTTCTGTTTATGTTTTCAGATAGACCAAAATACACCCCGATCCCCCACTAATTAATATTAATAATTCCAAAGGACTCAAAAGCACATCTCCGGTCAATTCTTTTCACATTGCCTTCACTAGTTGCGGCCCAACCTGTCTCACCCAGATCCAACCCGTGCTTATATATCGTGTTCTCTTCGCAACTCCAAGTGAGTTCGTCACGACGAACATAACATGCCAGCTTCCAGGAAAGAGTCTCTAATCCACCGCACCGCTGCAACAGGATAGCCCCTGGCCCCGCCGAGCAACTGTAACAATATTCCCTTTCGTCTTGGATTGTCGACATCGTGCCTTCCGGAGTTTTGCTTTTAGTTTCTTGTCTCGTGTTTTTGGTTATCTTCCTTGCAATCAACCATGTTTTTCTGGAACAAGCGGCCCCGGTGGCCACCTTCTCCCTCGGTGGAAGACGAACTTGAATCGCTCTCTCGGGAGCTACACGGATCGACCAGGATTGCAGACAAGCCTGGAATTGAAGGAGTCTGCGCCAGAGGATCGATTGATCAATACCCAGTGATCATGGAAACGCTCTCACTCACGTCCATCGTTCAAACCGATACCCTAGGAGGTTATGGCCACGGGAGCACCTCTTCCGTTAATAGTTCCGGACCACCAACACCACCTGCGGAGTCCAAACAGCCCTGCCTGTTCGATGTTGGTAATGCCACACAGCAAGGAGCTCAGTTCAGGCCAGCGCCGTTGGCGACACCACCCATATCTCGAGACACATCCCCCCGAGGCCAGCCACGTGCACCAGCACCTCAACCGGTACAGAACAGTAGGCCCGCAACTGGCCATCAAACATTACCTTCTCAACCCGTGAACTCTAGCTCTCAGGGTTCCAAGACTCAAAAGGACAGCGCCCCAGCATTGCACAAGGCAAATTCCAGTCCAATCCCACTGAAACCTTCAAAGCCGTCTCCCCCTGTGCGCACCTCTTCATTACCAAACAAGCCTGCTTCCTCCATCCCAAAGAGGTCCGTGCCTATCCGTCCTATAGGTCCATCGGGAACCAAAGTCCAGCAGCCTACTCAGGTCATCCCAAGCCCAGTCAATGCCACAAAATCCCCTCTCCCAATGCGTACATCTTCCTTGGCAAACAAGTCTTCTTCATCTGTTCCAAAGCCGTCGGGGGGCGTCAGGCCTGACCAACCCTCAGAAACTAAGGTCCAGCACGCTCTTTCAGCCAGCTCAACCCCACAGCAAGCTGTCAAACAGTCTTCCCCCATGCCTACACCGTCGCTGCCAAGCAAGCCTGCTTCTGTCACCAAAGAGTCACGGGGTGTCAAGCCTGACCAACCTGCAAGACAGTCAACAGCTAATGACAAACAGCCCCTTCCAGCCAATCCACGCCCCCAGAAATCCACAAAGCCAAGGCCTCAGGTGCACACTTCTCTCCTTCCCAACAAGTCTGTTTCTTCAGTTCCAAAGCGGCCGGCGAGCATCAATACCGGTGCCCTGCAGCCTAGCTCAGCTGCAAATAAGGCAAAAGACCATGATAATAATCCAAGACCAAACCTGGGGCCTCAAGGAAGTGGAACTCCTTCCGCGGCATCCCCGAAAACATTAAGCCTGGCTGAGAGGTTGGAAGAGAAGCTGAGGCGCAAACATGAACAGAGAGAGTCTAGTGGTTCCCCAGACGCACAGAAGACAAATCAACCTACACCGGTCTCTGTTCCAAAACCCAGTAGCCCCATTGTTGCCAAAAGTGATCCACCTACTACCCAGGAGCCAGCTAACCCGAAGCCCCGTCCACAACTTGCACACAGAGCGGCAACGGTTGACCCGCTATCAGTCCAGAAAGGTCCACGCCCAGTCTCTCTCGTCGAAGCTCCGGTGCCAAAGTTAGTGCCATCAGATGAGGCACAGTCTGCTCCTATCCTACCTAAACGGACTGTTTCATTTCAAACTAAGGCCCTTAAGCCCGCTTCTTTGACAAGTTTGGAGCATACTCTCGAGCAGCTGCAATCTCTACAAGTTGGCCTACCACAACCCGTTCGCCCACCATCTCCGAGCAGGTCTGGTCAGTGTCTGTTACCCTGCCCTAGGTCTGTCCCAGTGGCAGGATACCAGGACTGGTTCACAATCAAAGGTATGACTCACTTGCAAATCTGTCCCTCGTGCTTGAACCAGATGCGCAAGTCGAAGTTCCGCGACCTCTTGATCTTAGGAACCCCCCGTCCACGCTCGGAGAGGATCCGTTGTGCGATGAGCGAGCCATGGGCCCGGCTCGCCTGGATGCAAACAATCAATAAACAGCTCGACCATCTGCACCTGCTCTGCCAGATCACCCAGCCACCCCCAGGAACCAAGCCATGCACAGGACGTGTGGTCAGCGAACAGTACTGGTACCGCGTCGTCGACCCTGCCACGGGGGTGTTTCTTCCAAAGTTCAACGTCTGCTCCGCATGTGTTCGAAATCTAAGAATCCTCATGCCCCCGCACCAAGATACATTCAAGCTTTGCACCACTCTGCAAGAGCGAGTCTGCGATTTTGTGACGGACAGCCCCCGTTTCGTCCGGTACATTGACCTTCTCGACATTGCTGCAAACCGTGCCGAGCAGGAGCACTCACCCCAGCCCGACCTGACTGAATTCATGGCCTACGCTCGCCGCAAGGTCGTGCTCCGGGACTGCCGCCGTAGCCGGGTAGCGCTTAATACGTGGCACTACATGCCCCAACTTCCGGAGCTCACGGTATGCGAGGACTGCTATGATGACGTAGTGTGGCCCATGGTCAAGGCCAACTATTCTATCGCGCGTAAATTCTCAGCCATGATGCGCCTGCCCCCGGGTGACGGGCTGGCTCGCTGCCGGGAGGCAAGCTGCCAGCTCTACTCTCCTCGCATGCGGCTGAAATTCCGGGAGGCTGTGGAGGAAAACGACCTAGCATATCTGAACATGATTGCCCTGCAACGGTATGAGGCTGAGCAGCGATATCGGAAACTCAGGGGCCAGCTACTGGAAGACGAGGAACGGGGTTACGACTGTGATGCGGAGCTCAGGAGAAACCTGGAAGAGTGGAAGCGATGGGAATGAGTCGCAGGCGACCTCTGTCCCTTGTTCAATAGCCTGTCGATTCAACTATTTGTTTGTTGTCTCCATTTGCCAAAAGTGTATTCTACAAAAGATATGTACAACAAAAAGAAAAGAAAATATATACCATACCCAAACAAAACGCTTCAGCGAACCAAAAACAAAAACACTGAGCATATAAAACCATCACGTTCCAGAAAATGTCCCAGCCTCGACCCCAGCCCTAACCAATTCAGAGACCGTCACAATCTCATACCCCCTCCTTTTCAACTCCGGCAGAACAACCTTCAACATAGGCACCGTCCACTCCCGCCGATCATGACAAATAACAATACTCCCAGGCCGAACCATACTCAAGATATGCCTCGCATTCACCCACCACCACTTCACCTGCGCATCATGCGGATACACACTCCCCAACACAATCTTAAACCCCAACTGCTTCAACACCCCCCGCATACGCTCACTGAAGAACCCACTCCCAGGCCGAAACCACCTCTCGCGGGGCTCCCGCCCCCCAACCGCCGAATACGCCGCGCGAATGCGATCCTGCACAACCCGCACCTGCTCCCGAAGCTCCTCATCACTAAGACTCCGACTTGGCTCATCCCGCATCGCATGATTCCCCAACTCATGTCCCTGCCGCACAAGCTCATGCAATTCACCCTCCCGACCGGGAATCTGCGATCCGATAAGGAAGAAAGTCGCCCTAGCGGCGTTGTCGGCCAGCACGGAGCGGAGTTCGGGGGTGTGGACAGACGGCGCGTCGTCGATTGTTAGGGCGATGAGTTTCCGGTTGCTGGGGAGGGGTACGTGCCAGAGAGTGTCGGGCCAGCGGTGTTGGAAGTAGCGGATTAGTAGCGACGGCGGTTTATAGATTAGGTAGAAGGGCGTTAGGAGCGTTAGGGTTAGGAGGAAGGGGAGGAGCATTGTTAATAGAAGACGTTTGAGTTTGCGGCGTGGGAGGAGCATTTCCTTTTCTTTTCTTTTCTTTTTTTTTTTTTTTTTATT